GAATAACGTCCCGTCACACTTTCCTTCCATCGAACCACAATTCTTCCATAAAGCTACTCCAATGGATTCAAAAGAGTCGCCTCCGCCTCTCAAAGATTCAATGCATGAATTACATTTTCACGAAGAGTTAAGGATGACGTTTCGGCGATGGGATCTTTGCCGATATGTTTTTAAAGACTTCGCAGTAGATCCCGAGGTAAGAGATTAAAATATTTTTTTGGAATCACTGAGGTCATGATCAGTCTTTTCATACACACCTGAGCTCCATATAAAAGGGTGCTCCGTTTTAGACTGAAATTTGATTGCGTTCGCTACCTAAGTAAGTTTTCTGGTATGTTTTCAACATCAAAGCTTTATATATTCGTCTCACAGACGGCTATGGGGACGTTTGCGAAAGTCACGATGGAGTCATATAGAAAGCTATGGGCGTATTAAATTCCGGGTACTGACATACGATCAGCAAATACAGTTCAGTTTTTAGAAGGTTCGTCAAAGGGAACATAATTTACTAGACTGTAAAATTAAGGGTACTTCCTTCCCTATAGTATTGGTTAACAATAGATTACCTTAGTGGACTTAAGGTGATTAGCAATGTCTATCCGTCAAATGGGGGGCAAATACCTTTTAGCACGTTCATCAAGGAAAGGGATATCTTCCGCAGGATTAGCGTATGGTGATACGGTTTGTAAAGATGTGTTAGTTGCCAAATTTCGTCCTCCAAGTGCAGCGAAAATGAGGTTTCGAAATTACATTCTGATTTTCCGACTGGTTTGTATTTCATCCATTTCTATGCCTTTGGAAAGGAGGATCAACTATCCCATGCAAGGTTCGTCTTTCCAAAGGACACCAACAAGGACTAAGAGAGTTTAAGATCACATATGGACTGTGGCACAACAACAAAGTACCGGTTCTTGTGTTTTTTTGCGCTTGACATTTTCTAATATTCTAACGTGACCGTCTTGCACCTAGCCGCATATTCATCTGTTTGCGAGGTACACTGGGATAAAAAGGCGCTCATCACGGTATTTTACACGTCCCCTTCATTCGAATCTCATGACGAACTCAAGGTATAGCATCGTCTACAGCCGAATGCCGTCCGAAATCCAAACGAGTTACAGCACGAAATGTATCCGAGGGAGATTTAGAGAGGAAGAGAGACACCAGACATATTATTGGCGCGAGAAGCCGCAAAACCGTTGAAAATTGAAAGTAATGTTAATCTGGGATTAATCTTCTTCGTTCTGCACGGTAGCACATGTCCACATCATTGGGGTAGGACCAAATTGGGATTGACGGCGTTATGACCCAGTTTGGGGGGTCATTCGTCTCCTACTTTTATCTCAACTGCTGATAATACGGCGATTTCGCATTATAGGTAACATGGATACGTCACTCGTGTACATTACCTATAATGGCATTCGTATAAGCCAACTACCTCTAGTTATTTCTTCTCGAATGACCACGAGCTTGAATGGGCCGCCGGCTGAAATATTATTCAGTAAATCCGCTGCATTGACCACTTGGATATCCATTCGCTGCCTACCTAGTTTAAACGACGGGCAACGGCCGTTGTTTTAAGAGGTGGCTTATCTTATTTCAGCCTTCAGCAAGCAAACGAGGGAACGAAAGTTGCCTGTATCACTGTTTCTACATGCGGACAGCGTAAGCAAGACAATTAAGCTATCTGCATTGCGAAACATTGTTGCTAAAATCTATAGACGATCTACTCTTCAAACTGAACCGTGCACCGCCAACCCCGTTTCGTTTCCTCCACAGGACGGGGACATTGACTGGCAACACGTATTTGTAGATTACATTTGTCACACACCACTCCACCTTCTAAGTACTTCGAAGTCTCCTTTGGTTATCCTAGGCACATCGATCACCATAACATTGTCACATGCTTGGGGGAAAACTATCCTTTGTTAGTAAAAATAAGCTTCCATGGCTAATGTATAATATGTGAGTGAACTTATAACACTTGATGATGTAAGTAAATAGGACAGTTTTTGTCAAGTAAAAAGTCGAGCATTTTGCACATTCACTTGATTTCTTCTCGAAAGCACCGTTTTATGCACACTAGGCGTTGAAGTAAGAAAATCACGGAATGTGTTTATACATTTGGACAGCAATCCTTTATTTGAACATCTAAGGCTGTTTCTTTTCAGAGAAACGTGATTTAACCTCCAGAATTTTGCAGAAACCCAGCACTGATACTTCTGTTTGCGACACACCTCAACTGGCATGTTGCTAACAAAAAGGTTAGTTTCAAAAAGCCGGACGTCCTGCCATCATAAGAAGTCGGATTTGCAAGTCTGTGCGTCTTTTTGTGTATTTTCAGTTTTTCGACATGCTATCGATCTGAACCACGTATATTCTTTCTCTATGCACACGACTCAGCATTGCCTAAAGCCAATCCTTGGTGATTTGCTTCAATTTCCTGCGAGAATCTCAGCATGACACGTAGAATTCCTTCCCTTTAAGCGTTGTTACGTGTTTAGGCCTAAAAAACTATCTTAACTAATGAGCCAATGCTCCACCCTTAAGCACTCAGGGTAGATTAAACCAGTCGACGAAATACTCGATCAGATGCCATATGGCGACATAAACAGAACTTCTGAAAAAGTCAATGAACAAGCGATTAAAGTAATTGGAGTAATAAGTTCTGAGACCGAGGGGAGAATAAGACGCAAACATAATTTTGTTCTGCGAAACATTCCGAGTCACTTATCTGCTATAGAGGGAGCGCAATTGTTCCTGCAAAGTTGTGGCTTGGGTTACAGTGTCGCACAATTGACGACGGTTCGTCCAGGGAACTAGATACAGTTAAATGCCAGTCTCTTAGGCGAGAAAAAGACCAGTCAAAGCGAATTCAGAGAACATAAAAACATCCCAGAAAAACAACGCGCACCTTTGTCCGGTCCAAAAAACAAAGGCCGTTTGCGTACACGCGTACCAGCGGAGGAGGACGACCAGGAGGCCTACGAAGGACCGCCGGAGTCTCCCAACTGTATTGAACAATAAGGATATTGGAACACCTTGTGGACCGAATATTCAAGAGGAGGCTTCGAAAGAAACTGAGGTAAGCTTTTTCGACGAGCACCTCGGAAACACAGAAGGAAGGGTTATCAACACGAAGATAAATGAATCGTACACGGATCTCAGTTTCGCTAGCCCAATAGCTAGTCTATCCGAAGCCAGCGAAACAAGTAAACTGGAGAAGAACGCTCAGTCACTCAAAAGATGTGCGACAACTACGAGCACTAGATTCAGTCGCAAAAAATGTAGTTGTAAAAGGAGTACCCGAATCAACGGCAACAATTCCAAAGGAGAGAATTATGCATGAATGAGACCTTCTTCAAGTGTATGCGAAAGCTTTGTTAAGAGACGATGAGTCACGTAATGTTCTCAGAGCATTCCGACTAGGGAAGACACAGTCAGCATCCGGTTCCACTTCCCGGCCTCGACCCCTAAAAGTCATTTTAGAGACTGTAGCACAGGCCCAGCTCCTGTTACAGAGAAAATTATCTCTGCGGCTCAGCATCCTTAAGTTTTTTTCAGCCGGATTACGAGCCAAAAGAGCGAATGAAAATGAGAGAGCTGATGGCGGAGCTGGAAAAGCGGAGAAGCAGCGGCGAAACACACCTACAAATCAAGAACGGACAAATAATTCAGGTCAAAAGGACATTTCTCTGGCCGAAGGGCGTCATTCTGACAGCCTAACCGATGCAAAGGTGCCAAATCCTGAGGCTGCTTGCACCAGTGGCCGCTGTCTAGAAATCTATTACACTAACTGTCAGAGTCTCCTCAACAAGCTAGACGAACTCGGATTTCTAGTCTCTGAACAGAAGCCACACATAATTGTCCTAACAGAGACATGGTTGACTGAGGAAATAAGTAGTAGCAAAGTCAGTGTTGAAGGCTACCAACAGTTCCTTTGTGACAGATTTCCGCGTAGAGGAGGAGGCACGGCGATTTATGTGTCAAATCAAATTCCGTGCTGTCAGCGAGAAATATCCGATGGGGCACCGCGAAATTTTGAAATAACTTCATGCAAGATATGTATCAAACAATTACCGACACTGAACCTGTGTGTTGTCTATCGGCCTCCTAGCTCGAATGAAATCGACGATGTGGAATTACTTAGTGCTTACTACTTACTACGTGTGGGTGACTTTAACGCTCCAGGAATAGACTGAAACATTCCCCTAACAGACGCCCCATCCACGTCCTTTGACCACAAGCTCCTACACCTCTCCCTGAATGAATACCTCATTAAGCACACAACAATTCGGAGTAAGAATGAGAGAAGGACAACGATCTTACTTCTTAGATCTCGTTTTCAGTAAAGAAGAAGGACTTATAAGGGAAGTGAATCCACAACCTCCACTCGGTTTAAGCGATCATATTGCTTTTACCTACGTGTGCTCTCTTCTATCTAACCAACAACCAAAAATCAAGAGACGCAGAAATATTTGGAAGGGTGACTATAACGCAAAGAGACGCACTCTTTTGGAGGAAACCTGGTTGGTCAACACAGAAGATTTAGACGAATTCTGGCAGTACTTTTGCGGGATTAAAGAGCGTCTGATTGATTCCCATTGTGCAACAAAAATGACGAGACCATGTGCGCGACCGCCGTGTGTCAATCCGACGACAAAAAAGGCCATGAAGAAGAAACAGAGACTCTGGAAAAACTATTTACAACTTCGAGATCCAAGGTCATTCGTCGAATATAAGGATCAGCGCAATAAATGCCGCAAACAAATACGGGTTGCTAGAACTTCTTTCAAGCGCCGACTGATAGCAGAATCCATTACATGTCCCAAAAAGTTTAACGGGTACATCCTCAGTAGGAGGAAACATAGGGACGAAATTGCGTGTCTAAAGGATAGCCTCGGAAACGTATTAGTTGAAGGGCCACTGAAAGTGCGATTATTGTCTCAGTTTTTTAATCGGTTTCTACGGGAGAATCCTCAGAAGACAATCAGCAGTTTGAAATGGACCGAGACAGCCGGGAGCTTCAAATGCTCCAAGATATTGCCATCATTGAAACCGTCGCCTTTTCTGTGAAAGAAGTAAGACGCCTACTCAGTCAAAGAAAACCTGGTAAGTCTCCTGGACCCGACGGAATTCCTGGGCTGATGCTTAAGGAGCTATCAACGGAGCTGTCAAAGCCTCCTTTGACTCTCTTTGAGCTGTCAATGAGAACAGGAAGGTTGCCTTCACAGTGGAAAACAGTTAACCTCGTTCCCTTGCATAAGGGAGGTAGCAGGATGACAGTAAGCAGCTTTAGGCAAATTAGCTTAACTTGCCTCCCTTGAAGCTCTAATAAAGAGCGCTATGCAGCAATTTTGTGAAGAAAATAACATCTTGCAGGATTTTCAACATGGCTTCCGGAGAGGACGTTCCTGCCTCTCAAATCTGCTAGCTTGTCTGGAGATCTGGACCAGGGCTCTAGAAGAGGGTTTTGAGATCGATGTCGTGTACATCGATTTCCGCAAAGATTTCGATACTGATCCGCACCAACGTCTTCTTCACAAATTGAGCGCCATCGGCATCCGGGGAGATCTTCTGAACTGGATTAGGGCGTTTCTTGTTGGTCGGAAACCACGTTTGTGTATTGGAGATGATATGTCAGAATGGGTGAACGTGACCAGTGGTGTGCCTCAAGGCTCAGTTCTGGGACCATTGTTCTTCATCCTTTATGTTAACGACAGCCTTCAGGGACTCGACTGCGGCAAAATAATGTTTGTCGACGATGTTAAACTCTGGCAAGTCATTAAGGATGCGAATGATCAGAGTTCCCTTCAAGATAATCTGCACCAACTGCAAGCGTGGTCGAAAAAATGGCTTCTAAATTTCAATGTGGAAAAGTGTGCCGTCCTTCATCAGCGTCCAACCAACTCTCATTCAAATGAGAGCCTGAGGGCGTATCACCTGAAAGATATAAGGCTCCCTGCAGAATCTTCACAGAGGGATCTCGCGGTTTGGATGCAGAACAACCTGAAACCAACACTGCAGTGCCACAAGGCTTCAAAAACGCCATGGGAGTGCTGCATGCAATAAAAAGGGCTTTCGGAACCTTTGACCAAGACCTTTTTGGGAGAGTTTACGGCAATTTTGTTCGGACCCACTTAGAATATGGCATACAAGCGTGGCGAGCATGGCTAGTAAAGGACTAAGCATGCCTCGAACGGGTACAACGACGTGCAACAAAGCTGGTAAACAGTCTAAAAAGCCAATCCTACACAGACAGGCTGAATTGCCTTAATTTATTTCCTCTGTGTTACAGGCAGCAAAGTGCTGATCTTATACTCGTCTACAAGATGATGCATGGCCTTGAGCATGGACTTAAATTTGAGGACATGTTTCAGTGGCACCTTTCATCCAACCTTCGTGGCCACTCGATGAAGTTACGGACAACAATGTCCAGGCTGAATCTTCGTTTTGAATTTTTCACGCAGAGGGTAGTGGAGAAATGGAACGATCTTCCAGAGTCAGTCGTGGAGGCAACGTCTCTGCAACTCCTCAAGAAACGCTTGGATGATTATTTGTGTCCCCTGTTTTCCCTCGAATGTCTGGATTTGAACAAATACCCCACGACCCCGCAAATAATTTCTCTGATACAATGCTACTCAAATGAATCAATTACTATTTTATTAGCGATATTTTTATTGTTCGTGTACAGTTATTTCTAACGAGCTGACAAGTACTCAATAGGGTTTTCAACGGCTTTGCCTATCATCCTTATCACATAAACTGAAATAAACCGAAAAAAGCTGAACGACTGCGCTCGCTCAGTCGTACTTCGCCGATACTAGTTACGCTTTTCTCCTTGATAGAAGTCGATTTTATCTTGTCGAAGAGGAAGTCAACTGGAGAATTCTGCCGTAATTTGCAATGCTCCGTCTCGCCTGACCTCACACCAATCCAGCGAAGACTGAAGTAATTTAACTTGTCAAAAGCCAACACCGAGTTGACGACACCTATTGTCAGTTTGAATAAGTCTTTTGCAACACCATCTGCGGCCTCTGCACGTCACGGCATAGTCAATTGCGTAGGAAGTCCGACTACTCTTGATGCTGAGATCTTTAAACACACCAAAACATTTGGTACAAACACGCCTCTAACGACTCCCCCAGCAACCCCTAGCGAGCCTAAGCATGTGCCTAAGTCAAAGGTGAATCCAATTGTCGTCTCAGCCACTCGGACACCCGATAAATCCATCTGCATTATAAAAATCTTTTCTTCCATAATCGGCTAGCAGTGCCTCAAACACCCCGACTCAAAACGTAGCGTGTATCCAACTGCCCCCCAGCCCTCATATCAAAGTAGTTATGCCGAATATGCCGACATTCCAGCCTTTTAATAGAACTCTTGCTCCAATGGAAGCGATGCGCCCCCCACCCCCTAACACTGTTTCCTCCACGACCGTATCACCAATGCATTCATTATGCTGATGTTCATGTTGGATCAGTTAAATCATCCGCTCCTGAATTCCGTTCCGGCGGGAATACAATGCGGTATCTGGCCCGTGTATTTCCAGCTGAAAATGAGTTAGCTATCAATCGTTACACGCTTCCCTGCCCGTAATTTCCTCCCACAAGTCCTACTCCTTTCTATCCGCGTCAGAATTTTTAGATGCCACAAAATATTTTGCAGAACCGGATGGGTACGTCCGGACCGTGTGTTCCGGGGGTGGCAAAGCGATGGACGCCGTAGCCCACCTCCCTCAGAAACAAACAACCTTTCCCATCAAACTTTTTGTTCTGCACGCCGGATCCTTGCTAAATAAAGTGCGTTTGCTTCAGACTGGTGTTCGTCCATTGTCCAGATGCTGTTTTAGTAACTGAGGCGTGGGCATCAGCCTCCGTAGCAGACTCAGTACTCACTATTCTAGGCTATACTTGCATTCGAAATGATCGTCAACACGGCCGTTGTGAATGCAGCTGCGTCTACGTTAAGCAAACACTTACATGTGTGCCGCTGGACCTCCCGCATTTTTCCGCAGTAGAAGACAGCTGCTGGCTCCAGGCTTCACTAAAAAATAAGTTATCCTTGCTCGTCAGCTGTGTTTATTGCACTCCTAACGCCAACGACAATTTTGATCGTTTACTCTCACAGGAATTTCATGCTGCGACAGACTTAAGCTTTGAGTAACAATTAGTTGCGGGTGACTTTAATCGTCCTTAGTTCCGCTGGTCTCCGCCTTCAGGCCTCAGAAGGTTCGAAGACTTTCTTCAGGCTGTGGATGTTGGGATGTGGAATCAGGTTGTCGATTTTCCCACCAGATGATCAAGCATACTCGAACTAATTTTCTGTAAAGGCTGCATGCCTTCGTCAGTGTCATCCCTAGGCCCACTAGGGGGCTCAGACCATGACAGAGTTGCTTCAACGTTGGAAATCGAGGCTGACAAAACGTTGTCCACAAAGTATAGCTTTTTCCGCTATTTCCGATCAAATCGCTCGACCGAATAACTAACGCACCTTAATTCCTTCGACTGGAATGATTTCCTCCTTAGTTCCAATGTACATGTTGCCGCTGAAAAACTGTACGAAATTTTGGATCCGCTCATTTCTCATTTTGTCGCCTGTTAGAAAATTATTAATGTGGGGGATGAGGTTTTCCTACCCTTAACCTTTCGTTGCAGGTTGCACTGACTTTCTCGTCAATTCCAACTTCAGAACGACGTTTCTGTTTTTCCCTTGATTTGTGATTTTTTGAGCATGCTAAATGATCGTCTGCAGAAAAACGGTTAACCGAAGAGGTCTAATTCGCTGAAAACTTTTCGTTAAATATCTGGAAACATTTTTCCCGCAAAGTACGAACTCAAAGAGAGACGTAGCATCGCACCCTCCGAGACACCGTCGAGAATCCTATAGTTAATGCCCAGTTAACCGCTGATAGCTTCAATGATTTCCTGTCCAAAACGTTTATTGAAGACTCGACCACTCCGCTTCCGACCATCCAGGCATTGACCGGGGCAGTTCTCGAAACTGTAAATTTCTTTTTATGTATTGTACTACGCATATATGTATGTACGGTGCTTTCGCAGATTTGTACTCAAAAATAAAATTGCTGGCATTTACGATGTTATCGGGTCACATTTTAATCGTAAGCCTAAAGTAATGCTAAAGGTCACTTTAAATTAGTGCGGAAGGACTGTATATGACAGTTTTTACAAAACTGCCTGTGCACAATCATGCTGTTAAAGCCGATTTCTGTCAAAAACTAGACAAACAAGTTTTCTTCTAAACACACTAATTGTGTCAGCCGTCATCATCTCGCTAGGAAGCGAGTTCCAGGGTCGGACAACCCGATGACTGAATGAAAATCTTCGACGGTCTAAACGCGTGCGCTCATTCCCGACTTTGTAGGCATGACCGCGTAGTTGGTTTTTACGACCGAACTCAAAGAAGTCCTCTGCTCTAAATGAACAACTCTGGCTGCGGACCATCCGGAACGTCCAAAGTAGATTGCAGTTTATTTGTCTATAAGATAGGGGGAAAAAGCCAAGCAAATTCAACCTCTCCTGATAAAATTAATGCTTTAGACCGTCGACCATCTTTGTCGCTCTGCGTTACACCTGTTCGAGTAAGTCGATATCCTTTCTCATCCATCGTGAAGCTGCTGGCATTCCATACTCTAGATGAGGTCTTACAAAGACACCAAAGAGTCTTTCAAAGAGTTCGGGAGGAAATAATGTAAATGCGCGTCTGATCCAGTAGAGAGTACTAGTTGCCTTACAGACCATCTTTCTACAGTGTTCTGATGGCGATAGATTTGTGGTCGTCCAAACATCGGGATATTTGTGTCTTTCCTCAGTATCTAACCTCGTCCCGTCAATATAGTACTGGTGTTTGGGAAAGGCAATGCGGCCGGTGTTGAGCTAAAATACAACGCATTTGGACACGTTTAACTTCAAAATTCGTCCGTTCGACCAAGCACACAGTTTGTCGATTTTCGATTGCAACTTCTCTGCGTCATCATCGCACTTGACTTCATTTCATATTTTTATGCATCCGCGAACATGAGGGCCTCACAATGCACTTCGATGATGCTGTCATTAACATAAATCAGGAAGAGTACTGGGCCAAAGATAAATCCCTGTGGGATACCACTTTCAACCTTTGCCCATTCCGAGGTAGAATTATTAACGACGACTCTTTGTAGTCTGGAGGTCAGATGACTCCTGATCCACTTAAACATTCTTCCTTGAATTCCTACATCCCAGATGTTCTGTAAAAGAAGCCAGTGTCGGACACTGTCAAAGGCCTTCTTGAAGTCAAAAAATATGATATCCACTAGAAAACCCTTATCGGTAGCTAGTGTCCATTTCTCGTGCGAGTAAAGAACCCTCATTAGTCAGGAGAGCCCTGGACGTAAGCCACATTGGGCATCACACAATATTTTGTTCTTTCCAAGTATTTCAGCAAGTGTCTTTCGATAATGCGTTCCGTTATTTTACACGCAATGCAAGTAAGACCGACCCGATGATAATTTCCGCAGTCAAGTCTTGACCCTCCTCTATGGATCGGAGTAATGAGTGCGCACTTCCATTCTTCCGGGAGCTCACCGTCTTCAAAGGACTTTTGAAATATTGCGGATGATGGTTTGCACAGTTCACTAGCAAGGTGACGAAGTGCTAGTGCGGGAATTCTGTCCGGTCCAAGCGATTTGGCGGGTTTCAACCGGAGTAGTTCGGCCTTAACTATGGTCGATGAAAAGAGTGGTTCCTCGGTTAAGCAGGGTAGGGAGGGGTTAGGAGGGGAAAGGGTACTAGGAGGAGAGGTTGGTTAGCGAACGGACAGATGGGCAAATATAGAACTAGGTTCTCGGGTAAGGACGGACTAAAAGAAGTCGGAAAGCAGGGACGCTTTAACCTGGTCATCAGTCTCCACTTTTCCATCTCCTCCTGAGTTCTTTTAGTACTTCGTATATATATACTCTATGGCATGTGGCTGTCGCGATTTGGCGATTCGTGGCGCAGAACCTGATGGTGTTCCAGTAAGCACTTTGAAAGCCGATACAAATACGATTTTCCCATCCCTCTTATGCAAGATATTTAATCTCGCTCTTGAAAGTGAAACCGAATCTACCTTGTGGAACGGATAACACATTTTGCCCATTTCCAAGCATGGCCAATCTACGTCATTTGATGACTTTCGGCCAATAACCACCCTCCCTGCAGTTCTGAAGATTTTAGAGACATTGCTTAAAGATAAGATGATATGTCACTTAACAGGGAATAACCTACTGAGAGTTGCTCAGCATGGATTACTCGAAGCTCGGTCTTGTGACACCTTTCAACTCTCTTTCTTTGACAATGGACTCCAATCTAGGGACAGCGGTTTTGCACTTTACACAGTGCATTTCGACTTCACTAAGGCTTTTGATCCTGTTGACCATACTCTTCTTCTATTGAAACAGTCCTCTTTCGGAATAGGTGACAAAATTTTGAATTTTATAGCCTCTTACCTGGTTCCCCATCGGTTCCGTAAAATAACCCTGACCTTCTTACCGACGCTCTGATACCCCCTTACTGACCGCAAGTTCGTTGTGTGCGTGCATGCGTGTGTCTGCGGGGTAGAGTGTAGCGGTGTTCAGTTGTGGTTTCTCGCGATGGTTGTAGTATATCGCTCGCTTGGTTGCAGGTGTAGACTACACCTGGCGTCCACTGACTGGCACCCAACTCTCACCTGTGGCTTCGGGAAGTGCAGCTCGGCCTAGAAACCATACCCCGCTAACCGTTTCGACCGGCAGGCCAAACCAGGCGAGGTTATCCGTGCGTGCATCACCGCACACTGTTAGTCGGTTCCGCTGGTTGGGTGGACCATCACCTCGGCATCTCCGAGACGAGACTTCGTCTGTAACGCCATAGGAGGCCACAAGGTAAGTGACCTCCAGGTAAGCGAACATTGCTCTATTGGATTGCTTTTTGTCTGCTTGCTTGGTTTTATCCTTATTTAAGGTTAATACCGTTCTGTATAATTTTTCCGCTCACCGTTTACAATTCAGCAACCACTAAGATTAGAGAGGGATGAGAACCTCCGCTTCCTGTCTATCTTCCCTTCCCCCTCCCCTTCCACCATTCGAATGTCATACGGCGAGGGCGACAGCGGTCACATAGGCGGTCAGGCTAACTCGAGTCGTCCTCCCACTAATTAAAGTTATAGCCCATAGTGGAGTTCGGCAGCCGTCTGGGAAAACTGAGGAACCCTATTTAGGCGGAACAATGCTTACCCCGCAAGAAAAAATACCCTAGACAAATGTTGGAATCACGTCATCTACGCGCTAACCGTGGCTTGCAGACGAAACACACATGGTTGGAACAACCAAACTCGAAACCATGCTCTCTTTCTCTTTTCTTTATTCCTTCCGCCTCACCCTACAGACTAGTAGGCCTAGCCTGCTCACTCTGGCAGCCTGGAATGTTCGTTCTCTTTTATGCAATCCTAGTAGTAACCGACCGGAACAGACGACAGCGCTAGTGACTCGGGAACTGGCGCGCTACAAGTTGGACACCGCTGCACTCAGCAAGAACCGGTTCTCCAGAAAAGGTCAATTGGAGTAGGTGGGTGTCGGCTACACCTCATTTTGGAGCGGTCGCTTCAAGTCAGGACGACGGACGTAGGCGTCGCCCTAGTCATCCGGAACGACAATGTAGGTCGAACGCCCTATCTGCCGGAAGGCATAAACAATCGCCTGATCACCCCTCGCCTGCCTCTCCAGGGAGGAAAATGCGCCACCATCGTCAACGTTTACGTCTCCTGATGACCAGTCTTGACAGGAGAAGAAGCAAATTCTATGAGAGTGTGCACATCCTCCTGGCGAATGTGCCGAAGGCGAATGAGTTAATTGTTCTTGGTGACTTCAACATCATCGTCGGCTGGGCCCTCATGGTCGCCACGGCTTCAATGACAATGGTCTGCACCTCTTACGAACCTGCGCAGGACGTTGGCTCACTCTGACTTACACCTACTCCCGTCTTCCTATGCGAGAGGAGGCCATATGCATGAACCCTCGGTCGCGACCTTGGTACTTGCTGGACTGCACCCTCCTGCTGAGGCGAGACCAGCGGGACATGCTGGTGACAAAGACGATTACGAATTTTGACGAGTAGACCGACCGTCGTATCGGCATCTCGAAGTCGGCTACAGCCTCTCAGGAGATCTCAAAATTAACGACCTCCAGGTGAGCTAAATATAGCTTTGTTGTCTTTGCCTGCTCATTATTCCAGACAATCTTCCAGTCGCTGCCGCCGCCGCCGCCTCTCCGTTGAGAACCGATGGTGTCAGCAGCGGGATAAAGTTCCGTCGACGGCCTTGGTTGTCCTCGGTCACACACGAGGCCAACATCAGGACTTCTTCGATGACAACGACGCCGCAATTAGCCACCTGCTTGTCGAGAAGAACTAACTGCAAATCGCCTACGTCAACCGCCCAATTGACACCAACAAAGCAGACCTCTACCGTGTCCACCGACTCGTGAAGCAGCAGCTGTACGAAATGTCGTAGGCCTGGTCGGCTCGCAAAGTCGGGGAGATTCCAGGGTACGTGGATTTCAACGAATGAAAGAACGTCTTCGCTGCGATCAAGGCTGTCTACGGTCCCCCAGACTAAGGCACCGTTCCTCTTCTTAGAATCAACGGAACCATCCTTGTCACCTAGAAGACGCAAATTCGGCGAACATTTCCGCACACTGCCCGACTGCGCACAAGCGTTTGAAATCCTCAGACACAAAATTAGATGAAACTGGTTAACTTTCAAAGATTTTTATACGTCTATACGTCATTTATGACCCAATTTTATAATGTGCCTGTAAAAACACAAACATTCCTATACATACTCCACTATAAACCATGACTGAAGTTTAATTTATCGTCTATAAATTAGATCTTTCGGCTATCATGCGTTTTCAGAAATTTATCGAGAAATTATCCGCAATATATCCCACATGGGTAACCAAAACCAACAACTCAAAAATTAATATACTCGTGTAGCCTAGACAACCGCATAGCCATTACAAAAAGACTTCACTCAGGAAGCAAAATAAACCCGTATTAGTAAAAGTTTACTCACGGACCGAAGCCGAGCTAGTACTACAAATCCCTGAGGTATACAGACGTCTGCGGAACCTAAACTCATTCAAAGGTCCAGATTTAACAGACATGCACAGATGTTTATTTCAAGGAAAGGACGCCGGGTATAAACACGTCAATCAGCGTCCCGCCCCACCAACTTAACATTAAGCAAGAACTTCTAATTCTGGCACCAATCAAAAGAAATGCACAGCCCAGTCTGGACAAAACGATAAATGTACCACCCCGTTAGGCGAACCTCCAGTGAGTGCGTGTGACACTACCAACCATTTTAAAGACGCGTAACTTCAAAAGCATCTAGGACCGCATCTGGAGTTTGCTATTCAAGCATGGCGACCCTGGACAGCTAAAGACTTGGGCATACTTGAAAAAGTTCAACGGTAAGCAACGAAACTTGTATCTGGGCAGTGGTCACTACCCTACGAAACGCGATTAGCTAATCTAGACCTCTTTCCTTTGAGTTACAGACAGCTACGTGGGGCCTGATACAAGCTTTCCGCATCGGGCGCAATCAAGGCTGCTGTCTCGCGTTTGGAAACTTCTTCGAGTTGGCGACTACGACTAACCTATGAGGCCATCCACTCGAACTGCGTGTGGCGGGTGCCCGGCAAGACACCCGAAAGTTCTTCTTCTCCAACAGAGTGGTTGCAGCTTGGAATGCCTTGCCTGAGGATGTTATTATGTCGGGCTCGGTAGATACTTTTAAATGGAGACTAGATCAGCATTGTAGCGCGCACCACAATAACGCCGGACTACGGCCACCTTGACAGCCAACGCTGTCAATTTAGTGTTATCACGAAGCTACTACCAACATTTAAGTAATATATGTTTATGTGATTTATTAAGCTTGGGCCACGTCGCACACCACTGTTCGCATTCACCACGATGCCTGTAGACAAAACAATTTTACTTCTTTTCCCGCATTTTAAGTGTGCCTTAACTGTCCGCTGTATTTGATCAACAAAGCAAATTAATGTGCCTCCAAACTCTGTTAACGCATGACATTATGTGTTCATCTGCACAGTGTTTGCTATTCCCCTTGCATTTCTTTCATGTTACTTCCTTTCCATCTCCTCCATATATATCCTCTGCATGTAACCATTAGGGACTTTAAAGGTACACACCTACTTTCCCTGAAATATACTGATACTGATACTGACTGGTAGGCAGAAACAAACAAAGGAGACACATCAGGATACCAACACCATACCGGAGGAGAAGGAATACGTAGATCCCGGACCCAGTCACGTGACGCCGTAGGATAGTAATATGAGTTTCACTGCGGTACCCACAAACGATCAACCAGTAGAAGGAACTGACCACCAAGCAATACTTACAATCCAAAAGGCCTTTTTTGTGTACACCAGCACAAGGAAAACGACCTAAGTATGTAGATATAACAAATAGGAGTTTTACAAACCCCAACCAGAAACAAATAATTTTCTCCATTCGCACCTTCACTCCCTAATATCCACCTACATGGCATAGAAATAAGCAAAACCACTCCATCATTTCAATTTCCTTAACACCTAATAATAATCCCACAAATTACTTAAGCCTACCTAATTCCCGGACTCAAACCTCATTTAGATACGATTACCACCCAGTTAACCCACCTCTCCATACGTATTCTCAACCCATACACCCCGACTTCATGCACTCAAACTCCACCATACGCATCACCATATCCTCCAAGAGCTGCCCAGTTCCCTCCCTTTAGCACATCACTCAACCAAAGTACCCTCGGAAATCCGTTTTTTCACCACATCCTACCTCTCCCATATCTGACATCCTATGTACAACCCTTTTAACTGCGAGATCGATTATCCCGAAAATATTACAATTTAGAACTTGCGTTGAAATATATGACTCCGACATACTTTGTATTCCAGAGGCATGTGCCAATGAACTAATATCGAATGCTTCGCTATATGTCACAAATTATAATTTTCATTGACAGGATCGTGTAAGTAGACGAGACGGAGGTTGTCTGACCTACATCAAACTACAATTAAACAAAGCAGTCTAGATGTTTCAACCGAAACATCCTCTGGTTAAGCATGCTTTGCTGCCATTTAATCTCAGAAGGACGAAAACATATAGTTGCATGCCCCTGCTTCCCTCCAGAATGTAGTTATGACGACGCAGGCCTCAGCCATCTAAGAGACAACATATTTAACATAAAAACCGAATATGAGATGATTGCGTGTGACTTGAACCGCCCAAAATTAAACTGGGTCAAATTATCAGCACCTTCTTGGCACGATAAATTGTTATCTTCAATTACTTTTCAAACTGGACTCATATAGTCGACAAACCTACTGGAGGAAGCAACATACTGGACGTTAATTTCACCAACGATATCTGACCTCTCTATACGCATTACCACTGCGTAACCTTTGAAAGTGGTCACAAATTAATAATATCGATGCTTCCCCCAAACACAAAACCAGCGCATGATTTTAGTAACCGTCACAGAAATCTCAACATCTTGACGAGGACTCCGTGAACAGCTATATAAGGTCATCAAATTGGAGCCCATTCTTCTAACAGCACCCCCTATGTAAGCAGTCAATCTCTCATACGCTGCCCTATGTGTGATTCAAGATAAATTGATAGAAGAAAGATCCTCGCATAAGAAGTCATTAATCCCAAACTTTCTTAACATGAAGCTAAAAAAGTAAAAAACGCAACCACGCAGCATCTCCATAAGATATCCGTCAACACTCCGACGTATAAGAAAAATTCACGACCTAGTTACCATAGTGGAAATGCAAAGAATTAAAGCAGCAGAACGCAGGTCATTAGAGTCCCCTAAACGAACAGCTAAAAGTTTTTAAAAGCAGATGAATATTTGCCGGAAGTCTCTACCCAGATCTACCATTGATTAATCAGGATAAGTTATAACAAAAGACAACCGGATAGCAAACTTGTCCAACAAATACTTCTCAAAAAACTATACAGTCGATGACGAACCGATCCCTCAACCGACCGAGATGACAGAACACACCATTAATGAGGTCTGATCTAGTGAAGAAGCAGGTAAAGTAGCGACAAATCAACTATCCAACGCCAATTCCTGCGTGACGGACAAAATCCCTCCAGGCATTCTGAAGCACACGACATATGCTCCCCTTTCTCCAATCAGGTGCAATTTCTCCAGACGTCTGGAAATATTCGAGCATTACATCCACTGCGCCCGCGGCAACGTCGCCAAAGCCAAACGCGAAGCTTGCAAATTTCAACTGCGCCCACTCGCAATGCCTACGTTCAACCTCCCTGACCTGCCCACGATGCCAGCGGACGTTCCGGCCACCAGTCAGCCTTATAGGACATCTTCGTATCAACGGCGACACCCGGCCTGCACCAGCTACTGTCTCCCGGTCCAACAAATTATCATCATCGACGTCGACCACCAACGCTGTCCGCACACAAGAAACCCCGCGGCTATCGTTGTCGTCGTCGTCGTCGTCGTCGTCCTCGTCCTCCTCCTCATCCTCCTCGTCGTCCTCCTCCTCCTCCTCCTCCTCCTCCCCCTTCTACTACTACTACTACTACTACTACTAATAATACTACTACTAATACTACTACTACTACTGCTACTACTGCTACTACTACTACTACTACTTCTACTACTACCACCGCTGCTACTAGTACTATTACTACTATTACGCATCCTCATCCTCCTTCCCCTCCACCGCCTCCCCTTATTATTTTTTCTTTTTCTTCTTCTTCTTCTTCTTCTTCTTCTTCTTCTTCTTTTTCGTCTTCTTCTACTTCTCCATAGCCTCAGCAGCCGCTACGGCGACTCCTGTACCCAACACTGAGCACAGTCCTGACGCATAAACAAACACCGACCTCCCCCGACCAATAACGCCAATGTCAGTTTATTTAAGAAGGACGATAGGCAGGGCCTTCGAAAGCCCTAATGATGACATGTAAATACGTCATACATTATGCACACGGATAATAGATTTTAGCTACTTAAATATTAATTTCGTGATTTAAGTAGCATCGTTTAAAAAGACAAACTGTCTGGGGCACACGGGGTATTCAGGCCAGGTACAGACCGTCGATTAAAAACCGAGAACACAAGTAATCATCCAAGTGTTTCCTGAAGAGTTGCAGCGACGTTGCCTCCACGATTGATTGAGGGAGATCTTTCTATTTTTCCACTACACTTAGCGTGAAAACATCAGAACAAAAATTCAGCCTGCATATTTTTGTGCGTATCTCCATTGAGCGACCACGAAGGTTGGGTAAAATGTGCCACTGAAACATGTTCTCAAAGCTTGCTCCATGCTCAAGGCCATCAATTATCTTGTAAACCAGGCTATGATCGCCTCTTAGCTGCCTGTAACACAGAGGGATCAAGATAAGGCAATTTAGTCTTTCTATTTAGGATTGAAACAGTAAACCGTTCACAAGCTTTATAGCACGACGTTGTACTCTTTCAAGGCATGTTTTGCCCTTTACTAGCCATGTTGCTATGTATCCAAGCACCGAGATCCTTCTACGAAGATTCTGCGGGATGTGTGATGTCTTTCAGGTGATATATCCTTAGACCACCCTTTGAATGACTGTTGGCCGAGGGCAAATAGAGAACGGCACACGTCTGAAAATTAAAAACTAAGAAGTTATTTCTTCGACCAGGCTTGCAGTTGGTACAGATCGTTTTGAAGGGCTCTCTGGTCTTTCTGACATTTAGTGACTTGCCATAGCTTAACGTCGTCGGCGAACAATGTTTTGCTATTGTCGAGTTCCTAAAGGCTGTCATTAGCATAGAGTATGGAAAGTAAGGGCCCGAGAACTGAACGTTGAAGCACGTCACCAATCTCGTTCACCCAATCTGACATATCATCTCTGACGCGGACATGCTCTTTTCGACTAACAAGAAACACCCGTATCCAGTTAAGAAGAAGAGGACGTTGTACGTGTCAGTGTCGAATGGTTTGCGGAAATCGATTTAGGCGACACCAACCCCGAAGCCCTCGCCCAGGCCTTCAGACAAGTCAGCCGATTTTTGACGTGGACCCGATCCATACTTGCCCATATCGCGACCGCAACTTCGCCTCACACATCGGCCTGGTCAGTCACATGCGAATCCGCTGCACGGGGTCCGGCGGACCAGTGCCTGGAGCACCCACATATACTCGTCGCATCCGTCTCGACTGCCCTCACTGCGCCCACACATTCACTCACCACATGGACCCTCTAGGTCACGTGCGCATTCACGATAACCTGCGGTAGACTGCCGCTGACTACAGCAAATCATAGGATCTTCCGCCACCTACATCACATAACACAATCACCCATCCCATGTGTCCACCAGCAAGTGGGAAGTGTACTTCTCGGCAGATTTGACATGCGGCTCCTGCATGCGTGATCGGAATCTAAAGCTTCCTCCGCGTGCCACGCACCGTGGCTTGGAAGGCTGCTGACTGACACCCCTACTCAGTCCACGCAGTCTGGGCTGAGAGCCCAGCTGAAGCGTCCCTTCTTAACGTGACCTACGGCACGCTCACGCATGTGAGATATACACCGCTCAGCCTATTTTGTGGGAAATTGTGCTGCTTGTGTTTGGGGGACAGGGTCGTGCATGTGGGGCGCGCAGACAAGGTCACTAGATATGTCGGCCGTCGTGCACATTTCCCACACCTGTCAACTGACCGACTCGGATAGTGACTGTGGCCAGGGAACGGAAAGAAAGAGTGGCGTCAAGGACTCCGCGTATGTTCCTCACTATAAACAATCTGGAAGATATCGCGCTGCGCTAAAAGCCGTGGCCTAGATGGCTGTCAACTACAGGGATAACGTGGAATACGCACTCGGCCCAGTGCTGTGTAGCGCCTGTCTGGTAGTCTAAGAATCAGACAGCAGTGGCTCTTTCCTGGTGTGGTCTTCATGGCATTCCCGCTCAGTGGGATCCAAGCTAGGTATGGCAGCACGCCTAGGTGCGGCGCTGGCCGCGCCGGTCTGTTGTTGTTGTTGGTTAAAATTCTTGTCATTTGCTATATGGACCAGGAAGTGGGGAGTGGGGCGCCAAGGTGTGGTTTCGACCGTGCCATCCACCTGCGCCCTCCCCCGCCTCTGGTCTTCTTGACTATGTCATGAAAGCGGATGCAGGTCTGAAGTGGGGAATAGAAAGTGCGGCAGATACTGCAAAAGTTTACTGTCACTGTAAACTTATTCGCGCACAAGTCATCGTGTCCGATTCACCGTTTGGTGGAACACCCGGTGAACATCTTCGGCTGAACTATTGTGTACGTGTGTGTGTGCCCTGTGAATGGACCTTGTATCATCACGTGTCCTTTAAAAAAAATGACATCAATGTCCCCAAACTGCGAATCACGGAATGCATAACTACTAAACTAATGACGGGCGCTGTACCATCAGCAATTTTGTGTTCGGTCTGCAACGTCTAATTTTGCTGTTGTATGTGTTGGTCCATATAACTTACACACGTAACACGAGTTCTTTTCTGGGTCCTCCGGATGTCCTAACTCGACTGCAGTAGGGGTTGGGTTCTTCTGACCTCAGCAAATTACCCGAAGCGATGCACTTATACTAAATTGGTTTGATTAAACCATTTCTGATCCTTATTGAAAGTTAAAGCAAATATGCATCATAATCGAGGTAAGTATAATTTTTATTATAATTCGATTCTTTGGTCTGGAGCATAACTTGACTGTTGAATTTGTAGGAAAAACTTACACCTTTAACCAGAGTCATCCAAACTTACCATTGTAATAGACGATTCTTCAACAAGTGGAAACAGCAAAGCATCCTGCGTCCTGCGTAGACTCATCCCGATTAAGGTACATTCATATATATGAGAGATTATCCCAGTAACGTACAGAAACTGTCGTTAGGGTTTTGGGAAAAATATCCCACCTTTGGCCGTAAACCCTCTGTTCGGATCACCGTATTTGTTCGTCATCCAATAGGTACGAGCTGCCTATTGAAACCACGTTTTCCTGGGCATTCCTATGCGCAAATGAACTTTCTATTCAAAGAGATGTCCCACTTCTACCCAACTTTTCAGTTGCTCGCATTTGCAAGAGTTGTTTCGTGATCAAGCATAAATTGCATGTGTGTCAATTCCGGCTTTCGTTACTTGATATCAGTAATTTGTTGAAGTCGTCAACAAAGATGGTACCACACTGAAATTCTCTGAAGAGGATGAACACACATGAAATAGCAATTCCTGAATCTTACGCATAAATTTATAGGAATCATATTTTTTCAAAGTCATCCCATTTTATTGTTACCGTTGTCGCACAAATGTCCTCCGGTCTGCTGTTTCCAATATAAAGCCTCGCGTAACCAATCGTGACAATTTGAACAATGCAAGAGTTCAAATTTCTCATGTGAAACTACCGTCAGTAGGACGAATGTTACAATGTTAAATATTTTGCATCTCATTGTTGATAACCCGTTCGTGTCATTGGCTCTCTATTTGAAGGAAAAGTGGTGGCACCCACTTCTGAGTAGTGTATGAAATTCGAGCCCTGAATCCGCCCCATTACAAATGAAGATAAGACAAGCAGAAAGAAATTTTTGTCTTCAGTCTGAAATCCGTTCGAAAGACGTCAAGGCATGGGTCGCCCCTGGCTTAAGTTGTCACCCAAATAGCACACAAAGTTGGTAGTGTTCTCTGACACCGCGACGACTACTCTCGCAAACAATTATCACGCAACTCTGACGCTTTTTTCTATCAGACATGTGTCAGATATAAAGACAGTGTTATTTCGCTATCATGGATAATGCCTCTCGGCCAGGTTTAGGTTACTTTTATCAAATTCAAAGAAAGTTCGGCTAGACAAATGTGTACACCGTCGACTCTCGACCTCAGGCGTCGGAATATACAAATCAGCACCTTAGTTTACCGCTACCCAAAATTCCCGTTGCTTCAATCGCTGTTTTGGAACTTGCGGAAGGCCTTTGGAGGTAGTTTCGGATGCTACATCCGTTTATTCACAGACTTCATCAAATTCAATTCTCTTTTTAGTACATTGTACTTTGCCGGCCTAGTTTTGCTATCATATTGAGTTGCCGGCTAAACAATATGGTCTACGCTAATGAATAAGAGCCGCCGTCGAAGTTATTCTTGACCAGTTCCACTGAAGTATAACATTCTTCTAAAAGACTCTCCTTGTTTATGTGGGCAGACTATGTGCTCTGTCCTTCGGTATTTCTTTTGATGTTCGGGCAAGTTCGGGGCAGTTCATTCAGTTTCCAAGTAAGTACTTTGGCCAGAAATACTCCCAGTGAACGCTCCGGTGATTGTCTTTCTCAGAGTGGATCAATTAAAGTTGTTTTTTCTTCAGTATCGTTTTGAAAACCTGATCCTTCCCCCTTTCTCATTGGATTGTTTTCAGAACCGTTACGTCCATGCCTTTTTTGGCGTATCTAGTTTATCTAGCTGCGACTTGCTAGTCAGTTTCAAATGCATTTACTTGAAGCAAGGCTTGGACAAGTTGACATTGTTGGTGATCCCAGTAGCTTTTAATTGATCTCCTGGGCTGTTCTGTGCACAAGGACGAATGTTATCTACGTAGACTATT